TGCGCTATAAAACCGAGTCAACGCGCCGCGGCTTCCTAATTACAGCGTTCGTCGAGCGTAATAGCACGCGCAGCGAATGCACGCTGATTCCTCCGACTCGTGGCGCTTTTTGCAGACTAAGATGGAAACGAACGCGGCAGAAAAATCATCTTTATTTCCTCCGCGAACGCACCTGCTGCGCCCTTTGCCTTCCCTTGTCATCTCCTTTCGTTTGCTGTTCTTTCGAAAAAGCGACCTTTACATAAACGAGACTTTGCTGTTTGTGAAAACTGTGTTCGAACATATTTGTGTCGAAATTTGTCGGAAAATTGACAAAGCAGAGGAAATCGAACTGAAAAATATCGTAAATCGTAAATTGATCGAAGAAATAGTAGGTTCGTTAGTGCGAGCGAAAAGGAGAGGAAAAGTAGAAACAGCATTGCACGAAAGTGCTGGAACGCTGCATTGGTTACAGGTGCACGAGCGCATCTGCCTGGCGAAAAAAAGAGAGATTGTCTAAAACATTGCAAAATTGGTGGAGGCATCGAGGGAAAAGGCGTGGTGGACGAAAAAACGGAGATAGCGTAACGCGTATTCGCAAGGACTCGCCGGGGGCCGCAACAGATTTATCGAGCCAAGCGTTTTCTGCACTTGGCCCCCTTGCTTCGAAAGAATTTCGGTCACGGCCCTCTTGCGCCATTAGCCTCCGCGGCACGGTAGTCGCTAATGCGGCTGTTTCTGTGCGGAGACCGTCTGTACGTGTGTCGGTACGTCGATGAACAGGTGAACGAAGAGCCGGTGAGAGTGTGCGCGTGTGAGCACACCAGCCAGACGTAGACGCACACAACTCTGCCTTCTACCTGCTTACGCCGCTTTCGACCACGAGCTGAACCTGTTCTCCGCGCGGCCAGAGGTCCACACGCCGTGTCGTTTCAAAGCCAACCGACGTACATATTGTGTATATATACACACCTATCGCTGCTTTCACCTTGTTCCCCATCCCTCCCCATCGCCAAACGTCGTTCATTTCGGCTCAATTTTTCCATAATCACCCTTTGATTGCCATCTGATCGGTTAATTGGAATTTATTGTCAATTTGAAAAGCGTAAGTGAACTTTTTTTTTTTCTTTTCCTAGTTTTCAAGAGTCTATCGATCCCATTGCTAGAAGAGACCCGCACATTTCGCTACCCACATACCTGTACACGCGTAAGGACACGCACACGCGCTCGAAATGCACGCACGATGAGCACCGCGAGAGGTGCATTGTAATTCGTCACAATGACTGCACATCCTGGTGTACTAGCCTTTGGCACAGGTGCGCGATTACCTGCGTGTCAACGACAGCCGAATGCCGCCTCTCTGGTGCCTAACGTTCGCTCCGTTCGATTCAATCGCGCCTCTGCGTGTCGCGTCGCTTTGGAAAGTGACACAATTTTGAACGCTACCTATCTCGAGAATCTCGATCGGGTTCGCGGAAAACTTCCTACATCCGTTCGAAATTCTCTTCGTTCGTTCATTTACACCCGTGTAAATAATTGTTCGATGTTACGTTTAATAGGATTTTTTTTAATTAATACAGGTACACGAGAGAAAATTGTGCGAAATTATTGAATAACTGGCTATTTCCGTGTCGAGCAGCGAGCATGTTTGCTATTTCTTTGCGTTGTGCCGTGAATTCTTAGTAATGCACGTCGTCAGTGTTCGTCGCGTCAAATTTAACGCATTCCACGCACACGGTGACAGTGCGGTCCCCTTTTGGTGCGGCTTGTGGCTAAGTAGAATGCGCGTGCATCGCACTGTAAACTGCATGAAACAGCCGGTACCTGCGTCTATCACGTTCACTCCGGCCAGATTTTTCACGAAATAGGGTAGCGAAAACACGTCTGACAAAATCACAGAAAAATGAAACATCCTCCTTTTACGCTTGATATCGTAAAAGTCTGCATAAACAATCTACATAAAAACTTGAACAAGCTTAACTTGGTTAAAAAGGATGTAACTCTTCACGATTTATAAATTTCATCGTCCTTCTGTTAGATAATTATTCGAGGCCCCTGTTGAAAAAGTTAAACATAGGCGGGAATGTTTATTCATACAGGTATTGTAACGCTCGAAGAAGCGCCGCTTCCCTTTATCGTCCATCTAATTTCCATACGCGATGATAAATCCTCGCGCACGTACCGAACGTTCGATAAGAATTCTGATTCGAGGAATGTGAGAGCCCCGGTTCGTCTCGGTCGCTTTTCTATTTACGACTACAGACCAGCCATGTCCTTCTATCTATCCCTCCCCATCTTTTCCCCGACCCGACACGAGAGATTCTAATAGAGGTGCGCGCGCTCGCCTTGGCCGTCGTGGAATTATATACAGACATTCACGATCGACTCGTGCTCTTCTACGTAAAGCATTGCGCAATTTCGACGAGTACCGTGCGAAACTTGAAAATTCTTATTGTAACGGGCGCGAGCGGAGCGTGCACGATACAGCGTAACGGCTGGCTGCGTGACTAACGATCACCAGGGCGTGTGAGACAAAATAGCTATCGTGAATGAACGAACGTGTTCTTTCCTCCTCTATCTTGGTGTTTTTTAGGAGGAAAATAAATGGAAAATTCTAATTTAGAGGAATCCTCGAGAGAGAGAGAGAGAGAGAGAGAGAGAGAGAGAGAGAGAGGGGAGATCGAAGCGCGTCAAGTGTCGCGTGATCCCGCCTGTGCGGCCGTTCAAGTCTCCACTGGAACGTGCAACCGCCTGATCAGGCATCGAAGCCTCCGCGACGCACAGATGGAAAAGCAGCGCGTAGAAAAATTGAACGTACGCTTTGCATAAACGACGAACGCTTACGTATCTTGCAACGAATACACAGCTAGCATGTTCCAGTGCAGATTATCGTTCCGATAAACTGTTTGAATCTCATCTAACGGGTACACGCAATAAATCTACAAGGTACGACGACTTCGAATGTTATTAATATTCAATGATTTCTTTATCTTCAGCTATTAACGGAACGTCGAACGAGAATGAAGTTTGAAACAATTGTCTCGCATTCTCAGTGCGATAATCCTCGGGTGAACGTTTTACGAACCGTTCGAAATTCAAATGAATTTTTTACACGGCAATTAAACGAAACCGAGGGACAAAAGTCGTTCCAGATATGTATATGGGAACAGTTTTGATACAAAAATTAGGTAACGCGAACTTTTTCCTCGGATTATCGTACGTTTGTAAAAATTTGATCGCGGACGATAATTATCTGTTCCATCTCCTTTCGTAATTAGGCGTCTTGGAGATACTGGCGGAAAAATTTACAGCTGCGCAACGACCGCGCCGGTGATTGGCAATAAACGCAGGAACAGTTCTCTCTTCGACAATTATACTTTACGTGTTTCGTACGCGTTTAATTGACACAGGAGCCAGGGCTAACGAGTAACATCGCCGAAAAGTAAATTTGCACCTGCGGCGCGTGATAATCGATACGAGGCCATCGACTTCTCGAGCTCTCGAAACAGCGCGTCTACGATGTGAGCGCTCGTGAAACAGAGAGAAGGAGAGAGAGAAAGAGAGAGAGAGAAAGGAAGAGGCCGACGAAAAAGAGGAACCGGTTCGAGTCATTTTTCTAAACCAGTTTAGGACCAACTTCGTCTCTCCATCTACTCACTATACCGTTGTAAAAGAACCGCGCCAAGCTATCATCGCCGAGCTACGCCGGCGAATAGGCGCCTCAGGCTGAAAACCCAATTAACCTGTCGTCCGAAGAATTACATAACTGGAAATCGGTTTCGATTCTGAACCTGGAAATCCAGGAAATCCTCCACGCCGAAGATAAACGTCACACGTTTGCTTCTTCCATTCTCATGGAAGATCGTAACTCCGTGAAAATGTTATCGCGCTTGTCTTCGTATCGAGTGACATTTCAACGGTTTTTAATCACGCGCGATTAGCATGCCGTCTCCGTCGAGAAAATTTATTTTTCTCTCTTTCCGCGTAGAACCATGTACGCGGAAACGATATGCCTACGCGGAAAAAGTTGTTGACACACGATTGTTTACGCACAATACCGTTGTCCGCGGATAACCGTTGTGTAAAAAGAATGACACGTCGTTTGACAAACGCCATAACACCAGATGAGATCGTTACGTAATTGATGATACAGAAATCGTTTGTTTTTTAAACGAGGCTTCGCTCAGTCCCGTAATCGATCATTCTTACTGTGTTACTTTTTCTTTTTTCTTTTTTTTTTCAAAACCGCAAAGCACCGCTCTGCGTGTATCGCTGAAAGAAATTTTATTTGTTTTTAACGCGTTCGACCACGCTCCTTGCCGGTGAATCACTTGATACGAATATCCTTTGCCCCGCAAGAAATAAATCGAGATTCCACGTTATACTACTGTATCCCCTAAATATTCTTTAAAAAAAAAGTGTCGCTTCTTGGAACGTTCAAGCGATCGATCGTGGAACATCGTCAGGTTATACAAAACACCGGGTAATAATAGCGTTACTTATCAAATTTGCAAACGAACTGCTAAATTGCAATGGCACCTGTGCGCGCGCCGTGGCTTGTTTGCACCTGCGGGACTCGCCTAAAATATTCTGGCGCGCGCACTTTTTTACCAGCGGGACTCGAGAATTTTAACGAACCGAGCGAGGACAAAATACTGATAGCTGCTCGGAGAAAATTTTTCTAATTTTTCATCACGCCACCACCTCTATGAAATTTATATCTCGACTCCTAAACTCGACGGACACCGGTCGTCTTTCCTAAGCTGTTAAATACTTGAAACCTGCTTTTTCGAATTTTGCAATCTTTAAAGAGATACGGTAGTAGGTACCGCGACGTTAACGTCAGCCAGATGACTATTTTTTAACGTGGATCTTTGTCTATGGAAATTTAAACTTCGACTGTATAAATCTTACAACTGTTCTGTGAAAAAAGGAAAAAAAAGAAGTGAACTAGATGTTTTGAAGAATCGAGAGAAGAAGAGAGTCTCCTGAACTAAGAGTAAGATTAAAAATTGACTTACATTGGTGTTTATTCACGATAAGACTGAGGGGTTCGGAGCAACCAAGTGGACTGTCCTTTCCGCTACAGGGTGGCGGACTCTTCCCAAGGTGTTGCGCCTCCAGCAGCCTCAACTGCTGCTGATGCAGCCGGTTCTTGATCAGGAAGATCTTCGGCATCCTGACGGACGTTGGCGCGCGCTAACGTGACACTTCACCCTATAGTTTCACGCCACCATTCCCACGGCCGGTCGCGCAGTCGCGTTCCTCAGAACCATCAACCGCACACAAAATTAATCACTTCGAGTCTCTCCGAGGAAGAATCGTTTAAGGTAGAAAAATCACTGTGTCTGTTCTCCGCGATTAGAAACAAATCTCACTCTCTTCGACGATATAAACTCCAAAGTGTTCGTGTTGTCAATGGTCCGAACGGTGGAAACTACGCGCGCTCGCATTCCACGTTAACATCCAGCTTGTGGAAAGAAGGAAAAATGAAAAAATCCTTGGATAGTGTCGACGGTTAATTAGCTTCAGATACCACTATACGCGTTTCTCCAACAGTCACTGTATACTGTCAACCGACAACGAAGCACGACGTCCGCGAAGTCCAGAGATCGATTAGCCAGTTCTCTGTCCTCGGTTAGTCCAAGGTCCTCTCTCTTTCTCTCTTCTTCTTTCTCCTGCTGTCTCTCTCTTTCTTTGTCACGGATTTACAGTTATCCTGGACAGAGGCCGCAGATCAAGTCGACGCACACGAACGACCGACCTCTGGTGAACGACTGAGACTCCGTTGGCCGTTCGCTAGGCCGGGCCCCGAACACCGAGTTTCGCCCCCCACCACCGCCGCAACTTCCCCTACTTTCCAGCTCAGCCGACAGGCCCTCCGTTCCCCCACCACTCGCGCTCACCACGCTACAGCCCATCCAGATTATTTGGTCGCTTTAGCAGCGCGCGGGGACCGCTCCGTGGAGATGGAAACCGCTCGTGGGACGGCGCATGCGCGTAACGGAGAATCGTACGTGTGCTGAAGCGTGCGAGACTCCCTCCCTCCACCAGTAAACGCGTCTCTTTTTAACGGAGACGCGTCTTATCCTCGTCGTCATTCCCTCCTTCTCCCTCTATCTCTCTTCCTCTCTGCTCCTATTCCCATCTTCTCTCTCTCTCTCTCTCCCGGTTGCACATTGTCTTTACGGTAGCCGGTTGATTTGCCGTCGGGGATGCGGGTTGATATTTTTCGTCCGCGGTTTTCTCTTTTTGCCACCGCACTGTGTGAGCCGGTCGCGCGTGCGCACCGCGAGTTTTTCATTCACGCGGCGGGTTCTTCAAACTTGGCCCCGTTCCTGGGAGAGGGTCGTCGATAAGCGATCGGAAGGGACGGTCGATTCGCGTCTTTCATCGTTGAAACACTCGTCCTCTTCTTCTCCGAATTTTAAGTCCAAGGGAATTTCGCCGACGTAAGAGAGAAACGACGGTTTGAAAATGCGAACCAGGAATATATCGTAGGCGCAAGGATAAAGTGGTTTACGAGTTTCTCCGTGGATTTTGAATTTACGACGTGTGTCGCACTTCCGCGGAATGACTCCGCGTGAATATTTCAACGCGTTAGAACTATGAAACATGTGCACCGAAGAATATGCACAACTTCCTCGAGTTTGTAGGTACCACCTGTGCGATTCGCCGCAATTGCACGCACGGCTATCCAATAAACATACGTAGCTACGTGTCCGCGTACTGGTTTATGATGGACGCGGCTCACGGTTAAGGCTAGGTTCGCGTCTCTAACCACTATGTCGGTTATGCTGTCAAGCGGTATACACGTAGCGGCCTAAGTTTCAACCATGCTAGTATATCGCGGACATGTAACTACGCCGGGGATACAGGGTGCCTTAGAATTCATTCCTCGAATTATTGCCGTTCTCTTGTATAACCAACATGGTGGACATTTTGTGAAATTGCACACATGGAAACATTCGTAACGATGAAATTGCAAACTGTGGGAAAACGAAAGTTTGCCGAATGAAATACACGGGATAAACGATATTACCGAAGCGAAGATACAGTCATTTTCGTCACCCTATACATGCATTCTACACGTTCTACACGTTGTACGGTTCTCGCGAACAACAATTATTCGCAGTTGTTCCAGTGTTACTGACATGTATGACGTGTCCGCGCTTTTTTCTCCTTTACCGACAATCTCTTCTTTGTTATTCTAGTTTATGGACACGCTGTGAAGTATTCGCTACTCGTCGGAGAATATCGTAGGGTAATTGATTATTTTTACGTCGCGTTAATTGTACCTTCTTCTTGCACAGGGGATCAAGTACATCGAATTTCCGGCCATGCTGGTGGCAACGGGTTAACGATTACGGCCGCAGGATTTCGTGGACAGTCCCGGTAACAAGTTCATTTCCTGTTTCTTGCGGCTCGACAGGCTTCGCAACGCACAGACATCCAAAGAAGATTTCTCGTGGCTCCCGTTAATGTGACAATCTCCTCTCACTCGCATTATCACTCGATTAAACGCGCATCAGGACCAGATATTTACCAACGACGAATCTTTCGCTCGAAAAATAGTTCGCAACTTTCGCAAGAAGAAGCTTCCTGCTTCCTGAAAAAGGGGTTCCCTCGAAAATTGAAACGCGCCGTGGAAGATAGCAAGGGGAAATAAAGAACGAAAGGTACTAACGAGGGAAATCTGTCTAATCTCGCCTAGGAATTGGTAAACTTTCAGGCGACAATTTTTCGTGGAAGCTTTCCATCCACTTGTTCCTATTTCGGCCAAGAAACGTCCACGCTGAATTATGTGCTGGCCGCAGCACGGATTCGGCAGGTATCCTCCAATCTCGCTGGATCTCGCATGGGAAACCGAAGATTACGAGAAAAATCCTGTGGAAGAGACTTGGGACGTTTACGACCTTCGTCACGGGGGACACGCGTCCCCAAGATGGAATCTTGGACGACAGTCTCGAGGTCCGTGCGAAGATTTTTCCCTCGATTGCCGAGTCTTATCCAGCGAATCCCTCGAATCTAATAAATTCAAACGCGAATCGTTCGTTTCTCCTAAAAAAGCAAATCTTCTTCGATTGAAATTGCGGCTTTAATCAATTTGCAACAAGCACAAGCTTTCGACGCAGAGTACTTTGTAGCAGGGACTCTCGAAAAATCTCTGTTCCACCTGCGTTCAAGGTAAATGTCTCGAGTAACGTGAGGTTTGTTGGCCCTTTTGAAATGAGACGTAAAGAGCAGGTACCAAAGGTTGAGACACTCCAAAGAAGAAATCAGTTTTGTATCTCTGGTCAGCTATACCTACAAAGTGTTTGCTCCATTCTACACGAAGAATTGGCTTAAAAGATCTATTCAATTCTATCTCCTGCATCTTCCGCATTAAGGATAAATACGACTTTTCAACTGCTTCGTTTCGCCTCTACGGTACACCTGACATTGTATATCAGAAAAAAGAAATAAAAATCACGCAATACCATTACATAAGGCACCGTTCCTTTTATACTCTTTTTCTTCAAATTATCTAAGCTAATGGTTTTTTTTCAAACAACTGATTCATATTTCCTCTTACGGCATTATATAAAGTGCAAAGGTGTTATAAAATGATATCCGTCCGCCTCTGTTCCGCGTCCAAGTCAGTCAGAATTAATAATCCATCCACCCGAGAGGATTTATTCATCCGTTTACAGGTATTTTCTTCGAGTTACGAACAGAGTAGCGTTTCAAAGCCTGTTGTTTTCATTTATCGCAACTATTCCACGAAATCACCGGAATCAATGCTTCTTCGAGCCTCCTTTCAATTTTTTATCTAACTACTTCTTATCGATAAGTACTTACGCTTATTCGTTAATTGGGTATTTTTAGAAGGACGTTAATTCGTCGTTAATGAGCCAACGCGACGAATTCCCAGGCGGCAAGTATTGCAAGAAAAATCATCGGTTTACGACGCGGTTTTACATATCCGTTTTGCATATTCACGCTATGATAAATTATCCTTACCCTCGTCTACCACGATTGCTGTCCTTTTATATGCATCGTCTACTTTCAACGCGCTCTCCGTTACTGAGAGGAATAAAAAGATGGAGAACGTCGGTGATAAGTTCGTTATTGCGAATCTAACGTTGCATCGTACTGTATTCCAGTGAAAATATTTCATCGAGATTTCTTTCTATTTTGCTTGTGATTCATTTGTCGCATGCCGGAATAATTATCGAAGGTTAGAGAGCACGAGCAGAACTGCTCGTTAGGCAAATAGTTCTCCAGCGTTTCCTGTTTCCACGTGAAAAAAAAAGGAGCGGGAAACGAGCGTGAAAATGGGAGAAACAAGATTCCGATTTGTCGCTTCTGCAACGGTTATCGATCGATTTGGCGAACTCGGAAGACGAACGCGACGAACCACGGATTCATCAAAAGTGGTCCAGCGAGAAGAGAGCGCCTACTTTCTCCTCTCAAAGCGTTCCCTTGTTAACTCGCCGACCCACGATTCTCTCGTGTCTTTCTCCGCCTTTTCTCGAACATCATTTCACCTTGATCGCTGCTGCGTAACGATTATGTATTCGGACGAGAAAACAATCTACGTCTAGACAGGTGTCCGGCAGGTAGTCTTGGAGGAAATGTCTTCGAAAGTACGTTTTGCAAATGATCCGATCGATTTAGGACAAATTTTTCCTGGGTCTCCTGTACGATACTTGGCAAAATTCTCCATACTCGTAGTAATTATCTCTTGAATCCTCTTTTCTAACAGTGTCCCCGGGAAATAAACTGGATATCTTTTCTATTTACCTTGATCTTCTGTATACCCAATATATTTAACAAAATCCTCCACTCTCATAATTAATATCTCTCAAATCCTCTTCCTTGACAATGTCCTAAAAAGTAAACTCGATATTTTATTTTCAATTTCCCTTGGACTTCTATGTACCTAATATTTAACAAAATCCTGCATCCTCAAAATAATTATCTCTTAAATCCTCTTTTTTAACAATGCCTCAGGAAAGAAACTCGATATTTTATTTTCTATTTCCTTTGGTTTTTTGTATCATATTTACGAAAATCTCTCTCTCTTAACTCCTCTTCCTTGACAATGCCCCAAGAAATCTACTCGATACTCTATTTTCTATTTCCCTTGATCTCAAATCATCTCTCAAATCCTCTTCCTCAACAGTGCCCCACGAAACCAACACGATACTCCATTTCCATACAGTTAGATAACTCCCAATTCCATGTTATAAATGACACGAACAGAAAGATCAGATCGTGGCAGATATAGATCCGTATAAGAGAGTAAGGGTAC